TTGCCCCAGACTTCAGATGGCATGGCAGATGGGTTTTGGCACAAGTATCTCTATCAGCCTCTTTTAAAAAGAAGGTGATAACTTTAATTTTAAAAATTAAATTAATTAATTAATAATAATTTAGTTAATTAATTTTAACTTAATTTTTAAAAAAATTCCACTGTTAACCTTTGATTTCTTACTCCTAAATACCTCCAACTCCTACATTCAAAGGGGATTCGTACCAGAAAGCCATCATCGAGAACATAAAACTGCCTCGTATAAAGGATTCTCAGGACTCGGAAAAAGCTATGAAAAATCCATGGAAACCAGAATCCATAAAACAGAAAATCGAGTCCAATCTGTATTTACAAAATCTACAACTGCCCAATCACACATATGCATACAGTCCCTCTGTGGCAAAGCAGATAAGCAGTCTCACCAATAATTCCTCTAGCCTCAGCAGCACGGACCTCTCCACTTCTTGCTTGCCTTCATCTTTACTGCTGCTGTACATGGCAACTAACCCCTTTATGCAGGCTGAGAAGAGATGTCTCCTCCAGGAATGCAGCTCCTCTGAGTTTTTAAGCACCGTGGATATGGCATCTGCCATGGCCCAGCTGCAGAGAGATAGCTGTTGATTTTCTTATTAACATTTTAACTTGGTTTTGTATATCTTAAAGATGTCTTGCTGCCAAAGTGCAAAGCAACAGATTCTCGGAGGAGAGGATGCTGTTACTGCTCCCATTCCTATCACACTGATTCCCAGGACAAACTGAGCCCTGGGGGAGGCACACACACACGCTGCCCACCTCTCTTCATTCCCTGCTCTCTCCGGAGCAGCAGGAAGGCAGTCCATCAGGTTGTGCAGCCCTTTGCTTCCCGGAGGTGGCAACAGCTTGGAAAGAATTTGCAGTTTCACAGTGGCCTCAGGGTCCTGAATCGCGGCACCGAGCTCCTTCCACAGGGCTTTCCTCAGGACAGGTGTGACAGCCGAGACAGCTGTGGGGAGAGCAGAAGGCACAGGTTCCTCCACCTGCAGCTGTTAAACAACACACTAAACCTAATTTTTTTTCTAATCTAGCCCCAGACCACTCAATGTCTAGGAAATGATGCTACAGCAGCTGCTAATCTGTTACAGAGAAGTGCTACACAGAGGCTCACTTCTTTACCCATCCTCTACTTCCCAGGGTGCTGACAAGGCTTTATCGCTGCTTGACCTTGTAGGCAGAGCTACAGCCCCATTCAGCCTGTTCCTGTCAGAACAACTGACATTTTTTACAAAATAACAAAATAGTTATCCCTACCTCAATAAACCCATAATGCCTCAACCCATTCCCAGGAGGGCGGCAGGAGGGGCGGGCGCAGCCGCGTTCCGACGCCGCTCGGCCCCGGCCCGTGAGCGCTGCGACCGCGCCTCCGCCGCCCGCCGCCACCGGCCCCGCCGGGCCGCCCTCGCCGCTGCCATCCTTCCCCGGCGCCGCCGCGGAGCCGCCTTCACCGCTCCCCTCTACTCACACACACCGCCCCGCTCGCCGCTCGCTGCTGCCCGCGCCCCTCCCGCCCCGTCTCGGTGGTTTTGGGGCCGCTCTGGCCCCTCCCGCCCCGTCTCGGTGGTTTTGGGGCCGCTCTGGCCCCTCCCGCCCCGTCTCGGTGGTTTTGGGGCCGCTCTGGCCCCTCCCGCCCCGTCTCGGTGGTTTTCGGGCGGGCGCTGGCTGGGGGCTGCAGTACCGCTCTGTGTCCACAAGGCGGCAGCACCGCCGCCCGCCACAGCCGGGGGCCGCCGCTCGCCCGGAGGGGAGGCGGGGGGAAAAGAGCGGCGGCGATCGATCCCCTTGGGAAAAAATCCTCCGAAATAAATGCCCCAAAAAATCCCGCACAGAAACTAAAAGACCCTGCCTCGAACCAAATAACGCCGCCGCGCCCCAAAAGCCCTTTCTTTTTAACCTACGTATATTTCTCCATTGGTCTTGTTTATTTCTAGCTGTACGGCAGGGAGGCGGTGGGAACGCACGGGAGGGGACGGGACGGGCGCCCAGCGCGGCAGAGGCAGGGGCCGCGCCCAGGATGGCGGCCGCTGCAGGAGATGGGCAGAGAGAGGCGAATCTGCCGGTGCCGGTCGGCGCCTGCTCGAACTCCGACCGCCCGCGGAGCCACCGAGCCCACAGCCCCTGTGCGCGGCACTGGAACCGCCGCGGAAAATCCCGTCGGGGAGCGCCGGCGTTGGGGACAATTCAGGCAGTGTAGAAAACAGACACGGCTCCTCGACCTTCCCGTCCTCTTTTTCGCGCCCTCCTGAGAAGGTCAAGCGAGTCCACAACACGCCACTCCCAAGATGGCGGCCGCGGGCTGCGGGCTGCAGTACCGCTCTGTGTCCACAAGGCGGCAGCACTGCCGCCCGCCCCTCCGGACCGTCCTCAGCAGCAAATGCCCCAAAACATCCCGCGCGGAAAAGAACGCCAACAAAAAAACCCCTGCCTCTAACCCCATAAGAACCAAAAGGAAAAACCTTTTCTTTCAAACTGCATCTCAGTATATTTTATTTTTATATTTTACATATTTATAGTCACATTCGGATTTATAATGCATATTGATGTATAATTGCAATTTTAATCATTTCTTACATTTATTCCTATTATATTTTATTACAACTTACATTTTTATACATTGCTTAATACATTACTTACATATTTCTATAGTTAGATTTCTATTTCTAAAAGGTTTATATTGCTTAAAATAAACCCCTGCCTCTATCCAAGTAAAAATCTTTTAAAACCCCCTTATCTTTCAAACTGCGTTTAAATTTGTCTCTTTTTCACATCTATATTCAAATTTACACTTAAAATGTAGATTGATGTATGGTGTTATTTATATTCTATCTATTCCGAATACTTATTTTCATTTCTATTTTATATTTTTATATATCTCTGTATACATTGAATATATATTTCTATACTTAGAATGATATCAAAAGAAAAGGTATATTCATTTTTCTTCCATTAAAACCCTGCCTCAAACCAAATAAAAAACCAAAAAAAGCCCTTTCTTTAAATGATACTTGAATATTTATATGTTTTTTTCATCATTATAGTCACATTTGCATTTCTACTTTATAGTGATATATATTTATAAATACATCATATATATATTAAGGTAGCAAGATAGACAAATTATTATTTATATTATACTTCATAGATACTGCTAATATTTTTTTTTACTTACCTTTGAATTTTTTATATAGATCTTAAGGTATTTAGGATGTATTTCTATACATAGATTTCTAATTTTATTTTATTTATATTTATAGATTTTATTAAAAAACCCTACCTACTACCAAATACAAAATAAAAATCCCCTTTATTTTAAACTATATTTAAATATTTCTATCTTTCTATTTTTGATTTTTACAAGTTGTTATATATTCGATTACAATATATTGAGGTACCATATTTCGATATATAGTATTTAGGACATAGAATGCGTTAAAATAGGACATACACAGTAAAATATGCATTATGTACTGTATTGATTTCTATTATTTAGTAATTTTTATATTTATATATCCACATGTATTAATTATACATCTCAATATGGATATTTTATATGGATTTTATTTATATTTATAATCTATATTTATATGTATTTATATAAACAAAATACTGTATATCAAGCAATATACTATCTAATAGTAAAGGATAACATTATTTATGTTACATGTTTTATTTATATGTTTTCCATTTATATTTAAAATTGAAGTTTTATATTCCCATTTTCATATTTATGTATTTGTTTCATTAGTTACAGTTAGAACTTTGCAGTTATAATCCAATTCCTAAAAATAAAACGCCAAAACAAACAGCATCAAATAACCAAGAATACGAATACCATCCAAAAAATTCAGAAAGGCTCAACCAGCCATCCAACTACCAGCAAAAAAACCCCCACTACACTCCTTTCACTAACAGTTCTTATCACATAACAAAAATGGAACATTAATTAAAAAAAAAACACCTATAAAAACCCACACAAAAAAAAAAAACACTAAAAAGAAAACAACTCCTCAACTAACCTCTTATACTCCAAACCATATTACAGATCCCAAATGTTTCTAAAAAAAAAACCAAACAATACCCTACCACTACACTAACTCATCAAGAGAACCCAATACTCTATAAAATTAACTAAACTCCCCCCAAATAATTACAGATATAAAAAAATCGAAACCATGAAGAAACAAAAAACTCACCACCCAAATAAAATAACTACCTATAAAGATCCACCATAGAAATACCCATGTTCCCAAAAATCAAACTAATAAAAAACAACAAATACATCCAACTACAAAAAAAAATATATTCACAACAACAAAATAATAATTCCTAACTCAAGGAACTCAGAATGCCTCAAACCATCAAAACACAAATACCACCTAGAAATAAACATGTCACCAAAAGAGAAAAGTAACAATAAATAACAACTCCCAAATTGTCTGAGACAATAAAACACACAAAGCAATCAAACAAGACAAACAAATAAAACCCCTACAACATAATAAACAAGAATGCAGTTATCAATATTAAAAAAACCTCAATAATTAACTACAGGACACTACCTCAAACCAACCAAAATAAACCACTACATACTCACGCCAATAAAAGCCTCCACAACCGAATTAAAAACCTACCCTCTACTTCATGCTATGACCCATAAAAAACATTATAAACCTTTAAAAACACATCCTTCAAAAACATAAGAACCCATCAAAAAGAAATCCAACCACAAGACTCAACCCAAAAAAAACCCTTGTCATGAGCACCTGAAGCAAGAACCGTAAGAAGCAAAAAGCACACCATGGCCCTTCTCCTACACCAACTATGAACAAAAGAAAACCATCCAGTAAGTTCCTCAAAACCACCACAGCAAGGAAGGCTGGAAAATGAGAAGCCACGCTCCCGGCACCGGTCCGTTGGCCAGTTAGTGATGGAGGTATGAGCACTCCGAGTCGATTCCCTAAAGCACAGAAATGAGAAAGGATGCTTAGAATCGCACCAGAAACTGAAAGCTGAGTAAAAACAACTGCTTCTGTCCACTGGTCCCCTTGGACATTGGGCCTTGACTGCTGCTATCTGCCTGGACCTCCTAAGAATAAAGACTGCTGTAACAAAGTCACCATTTAGGCTTCCCCTGCAAATGCAAACAATGACTGACCTGCTCATGGCAACACCCTCAGCCAGGACTGGGGCTCTCTGCCACTGATTTGAACTGTCTGCATCTGAAAGGATGTTAGGACCAGTGTAAAACAGCTGCAGGACAACATAACAGCTCCAAAAATGTTAGGGCAATCAACAAATACAATCTAGAGCCCAACTACACCCTGCATTACGAATCTCAAGTCCCCAGGACTTGTGCTATTACAGGCTAGGCAGCAGAGCAGAGCAGCTCCGGGACAAATATGTGCAGACACCCGTGACACAGGACAGGACATGACAATCGAGGGGACAGGACAGGGAGCGAGAGCTTTCGACAAGAAGAAAGGACTGAGCGACCCAAAGAACACAGAGTCCAACAGAGACAAGTGACAGGACACACACCAGAACTGCTCTGCCCAGCACACCTCAGCACTGAGAGTAAAACAGGCACTTTGCCTTTAGGTGGCCTACGGAGATGCTTCTTGGACATCTACGTCTCTAAAACATACAAGAAAACTCCTTCTAGAAAGTCCCAACCCAGCACCCCACTTGCAACCCCTCTGTGGGTCATAACCTTCCACTTATCTTGCACTCATCTGGGGATGCAAATCCCTGTTGGCTGCAGAAGAAGGGCATCTCCCTGTCTGCCTGCTACGTTCCAGCTGTCACCTCTTGGTCTGCCAAGAGAAAGAAAACCAAACATCAGTGCACAGTCTTAACAGCATATCGGACAAAACCTGATAATTCTGCTACTCACCATCCTCCTCAGAATGCCCGGGTTCTTGGCCTGCACGCGTCGGGCGTGATTGGATTCTGACGCCGTCATTGCAGGGTACACCTAGGTTAAGTGAAGACAAGGCAACATGGCATTGCTGAACCACGAGTGGACTCTCAGTCCTCCTCCCTACCTCCCTGACTCACTGCAACTCCTCAGCCATTCCTCTGGGCTACCAGGATGGGGCCTTGAAAAGCAAAACTGGGAGGTCCATCACAGGGTCCGGCAATGCTTCCAGCGAGATCACAAGTGCATGAAACCTGGTCCATCAGCCAGTTGGTGACAGAGGTATGCACACACTGAGATGATTCCCTAAAGCACAAAAACAAGAATGGATGCTTAGAGTTGCACCAAACATTGAGACCTGAGCAAGAAGAACTGCTTCTGTCCACTGCTCACCTGGCACACTGGGCCTTCACTGCTGCTATCTGCCTGGACATCCTAATAATAACGACTGCTGTAACAAAGTCACCATTTAGGCTTCCCTTGCAAATGCAAACAATGACTGACCTGCTCATGGCAATACCCTCACCCAGGTTTGGGGCTCTCTGCCACTGATTTGAACTGTCTGCATCTGAAAGGAAGTTAGGACTAGTGTGAAACAGCTGCAGGACAACTTAACAGCACCAAAAATGTTATGGCAATCAACAAATACAATCTAGAGCCCAAATACACCCTGCATTACCAATTTCAAGTCCCCAGGACTTGTGCTATTACAGGCTATGCAGCAGGGCAGAGCAGCTCCGGGACAAATATGTGCAGACACCCGTGACAAAGGAGGGGACAGGACAGGGAGCGAGAGCTTTCGACAAGAAGAAAGGACTCAGAGACCCAAAGAACACAGAGTGCACCAGAAACAAGTGACAGGACACACACCAGAACTGCTCTGCCCAGCGCACCTCAGCACTGTGATCAAAAGAAACATTTTCCCTTTAGGTGGCCTAAAGGGACACTTCTTGCACATCCCTGCCCCCAGAGCTGATTCAAAATGCCCTCCCAGCACGTCGCTTTCATCCCCTCTGCGGGCTTTAGCCCTTGACTTATCTCTCGGGCATCTGGGGATGAGAATCCATGTTGCGTGCGAATGGAGGCTGCCTCATCTGCTGGGAATGTCCTGTGGTCACCAGGCTGTGGTCCTTTGCCCAGCGAGAATCAAGAACACCAAACATCACTGCATGATCTTAGCGGCACAATGGACAAAACTCAGCAATCCTGCTACTCACCATTCTCCTAAAAATGCCTGGTTGCTCAGGCCCCACACTTTGGCCATGCTCAGAGGCTGCCACCGTCATCGCAGGGTCTGCCGGGGTGAAGAAGAGACAAAGTGACACAGCAATGCTGAAACCTTAAGGAACCTTGGCTCCCCCTCTCTACCTCGGCGTCTTACCACAACACATGGGCCATTGCAAAAGGCTGCCCGGATGCCATCTTGAAATACAAAATTTCAAGGCTTCATCTCAAGAGGCCTGAAATACTTCCAGAGGACTCACAAGCACAGGAAACCCAGTCCATCGGCCAGCTGGTGAGAGGGGCTTGGCATACTCCAAGTGGCTTCCCTAAAGCACACAAACAAGAATGGATGCTTACAGTTGCACCAAACATTGAGACCTGAGCGAGAACAACTGCTTCTGTCCACTGCTCACCTGGCACACTGGGCCTTGACTGCTGCTATCTGCCTGGACCTCCTAAAAATGAAGTCAAAGAACACTGCTGTAACACAGTCACCATTTAGGCTTCCCCTGCAAATGCAAACAATGACTGACCTGCTCATGGCAACACCCTCACCCAGGTTTGGGGCTCTCTGCCACTGATTTGAACTGTCTGCATCTGAAAGGATGTTAGGACTAGTGTAAAACAGCTGCAGGACAACTTAACAGCACCAAAAATGTTAGGGCAATTAAGGAATACAATCTAGAGCCCAAATACACCCTGCCTTACAAATCTCAAGTACCCAGGACTTGTGCTATTACAGGCTAGGCAGCAGGGCAGAGCAGCTCCAGGACAAATATGTGCAGACACCCGTGACACAGGACAGGACATGACAATCGAGGGGACAGGACAGAGAGCGAGAGCTTTCAACAAGAAGAAAGGACTGAGAGACCCAAAGAACATAGAGTGCACCAGAGACAAGTGACAGGACACACACCAGAACTGCTCTGCCCTGCGCACCTCAGCACTGAGAGCAAACAGACAGACACTCTTCCCTTTAG